GAGGGGAGCAGACAGAGGGAGGGGCGCAACGCGAGAGAGAGGGCGAGAGAGAGGGCGAAAGAGAGAGCGAGAGAGGGAGAGAGAGAGAGAGAGAGAGAGAGAAAGAGAGAAAAGAAGAGAGAGAGAGAGAGAGAGGGAAGGAGAGGGAGAGAAGCGAGGACATGAGCGCGAGGGGGAGGGCAGGTAGCGCGAGCGAGAGGCGGAGGCAGCAGACGGCACGGCCGAAGGGGCCGGGTGACACCTGGGCGGCAAGGGGCGGCCGTGAGCGCGACGACTCAGGGGGGAGGGCCACGCGAGGGCTCTGGAGCCGTCGCTGCGAGGACCCTCCCCCTCCTCTGCTCGACGCGGAGGCTGAAAGGGGGGAGGCGGAGGAGGAGGAGGAGGAGGAGAAGGAGGAGGAGGAGGAGGAGGAGGAGGAGGAGGAGGAGGAAGAGGACGAGGAGGAGGACGAGGAGGAGAGGGAGCGAGGAGCGAGGAACGAGCGAGGAGGCATGGAGGGATGCGGAGAAAAAAGAAAAAGGGAGTGAGCGAGGGGACGATATCCTTCTCATCGGTTTCCTTCTCCTCCTCCTCCTCGGCCTCCTCCGCCTCCTCCCCATTTCCTCCTCCTCCTCCTCAACATCGTGGACCTCTATCTCCACCTCTACCTCCACCCCTGCCAGCTCAACGTTCGATCGTCGATCCTCAAACCTCCCTTCCTTCTTCTCTCCATGAACCTCGCCATGGCCCAGGCCTTCTCCTGTCCACCTCGCCCTCCTCATCACCATCATGTTTTCTCCTCCTCCCCCTCGTCATCATCATGGTCATCATCATCTCCACCATCACCGCCATCATCAGTACCACCATTACACTAACGGCCACCATCACGTGCATCTTCATCACCATCCGCATCTTCATCATCAACATGACCACCACCACCATTACCAGTGCAGCCATCGCTATGACCATCACTCGCAACAACGTAAGCACTACTTTTCTCGCTCCTCATTCTCACCACAACTATGACCAACACCATCACTATCGTCAGCAGCACAGCACCATCATTGTCAGCATCACCGCCACAACCATCACCAACGTTATCATCATCCTCATCATCGTCACCATCATCTCTGACCTCAACACAACCACCATCATCATAGTCATCATCGCCAGCCGCACCATCAGCATCATCACCGTTGTCATTACCATCATAATTCTCATTCATACCATCATCGCCGTCATCGTCAACACCATCAGATTAACCACCGCCATCGCCATCGCCATCGCCATCGTCACCACCGCCATCAACAGCAACATCCTCGTCATCAACGTCGCAATCGACATCGGCATCGGAAGTGCCGTCATCATCAGCATCATCATCATTATCATGATAAGCGCCACGATATGCATCATCATCGTTGTCACCATCAACACCATCATCAGACTCTCCAGCATACGTAGCAGCATCAGCAGCAGCATCAGCATTCTCACCACCATCATCAGCAACATCATCATCATCGTTCACCTCTCCCATCCTCAACACCAAACTTCCCCCTTTTCCTCTTCCCCCCTTCCGTTTCCTCCCTTTTCCCCCTCCTCCTCGTCCTCCGCCTCCTCCTCCTCGTCTGACGGCGCGCGCGGGTCTCTCGCGCGGCCGGAGCTCAGTAGTCGGGAACCAGCGCAACTCCTCCCCGTCCTCCTCCTCCTCCTCCTCCTCCTCCTCCTCCTTCTATTCCTCCTCCTCCACCTCCTCCTCCTCCTCCTCATCATCATCACCATCATCCTCTTCCTCCTCCTCTTCCCTCCCCCACCCACCTCCTCCCGGTGTCCGCCCCGGACAGGGCAGCACGTCGCTCCCGAGCAAAAGCGCCGCGCGAGTGCCGACCGTGGCAGCTGCCCCCTACCGCTCGGGCGAGAGGCGCACGCCTCTCTCGAGCTCGCCATACCCCCCCCCCCGGAGGCTCGAGGCCGCGCGCCGGGGAACGAGCTGCAGCCGCCGAGTGTAGATCCCTGGGGCAGCCATCTTCGCGCTCGGCGGTCCGCGCAGGGCCATGCCCCTGTTCTGGCACAAGCCACCCTGCTTGCGGAGCGGCATCGAGCAGCACGCCCTCGAGAGGAGGAGCAGCGGTCCGCGCAGCGCGACCCTCTTCGCGCTGTCGCGTCGCCCCCTCCCCCCGCCCCCGGAAAGGAGGAGTGCCTCGCGCCGCCTCGCTCTGAGACCACCCAGGCCGCGGAGCGCGGCCAGCGTCGCACCCCTGTGGTGGCCATGGCCTCCCCGAGCTGCGTTCAAGCCTGGGCCTGGCGCCTGTTTTCCCTCGCCGCGTCGTCGCAAGCGAGGCCGCGCGCGCGCGAGCGCCTGCCAAGCCAGCTCGACCCCTGCTGCTGCGCATACTCCCAGCCCTGCTCATCGTCCTCACCCCCTCTACCGCTCCTCCTCCCCTTCTTCCTGCGCCATCCACCTCCCACATTTCCACATATACCTCCACTGACGTCTCTACATCCAGCTCATCCTTCTGCTCCTTCTGCGGCTCCACCTAAACTTTCTCCTCATATGTATATGTTGTGTTCCTCCTCTTGTCGAGTCTGGCCCCTGCCGATCAGCACGGCAACGAATCAGAGCAGCTGCCCACGCGCAGCGACCGCGCGGCAGACTTATAGCATAGCCGACTCAAACGTGGCCGGAGACCGCCGCATAATGCCTACGACCGGGCGGCCGCGCATCCACGGTCGCTCGCTGGGAACACGGCGCTGGTCTTAGGTCGGGCGTGTCCTCCTATAGGCGGAGGTTGTAAGAAACATTGGAAATAGTCAAAACATACTAAAAGCAATCAACACACAATCCGAACACACAAACGTACCCTGATTACGCTTGTCTGTTTTTGAATCTGCCTCCTGCAGAGGGACATGCCCGACTTGGCGCTGGTCGCCGCGCCGCTGGAGGAAAATCAGCGCTACTGTAAAGTTCCTGGTGCTTCAGCGCGCCAGTCCAACCTCCTCCTCCTCCTCCTCCTCCTCCTGTGTGGGTGGGCCTCGTGGTGGGATGCTGCTGCCAGCGGCGGTCAGCCTCTCCGAAGGGGCGAGGCCACTCCTGCTGCCCTCCTCCTCCTCCTCCTCCTCCTCCTCCTCCTCCTCCTCCTCCTCCTCGTGGGCTCCGACGGACGGGTCGACCGCCTCGGCTCCAAAAAACCGACGTGCCCGGCCGAGCAGCGCGGCCGGCCAACAGAACACTCAGGTTTCAGGCTTGCGACTTCAATTCGGAGCGAGGGGGGGAGGAGGCTGACGAGGAGCAGGAGGAGAGCAGCCGAGGGGGAGAAGAGGGACGACGACCAAGGGCAGGAGCGGGAGGAGGAGAAAGAGGGAGGGGGAAGGGAAAAAGGAGGAGGAGGAGGAAGGGGAGGAGGGAGAACGACGCCGAGGGACTGAGACCCAGAAGGCCCCTGAGAGCTCCAGAACACCCCCCAAAAGAGGCCACGAAAAGACCTCCCTGGATGCATCGCGGCAACCACGCAACGGCAACGAGCCGGCCAAGTTGTCTAAGGCGTTGCTTCGTAAGTTTTCTCAGCGGGGTGGCAGATAAATGTGCGCGGCAGCGCAATCGGAGAACCCTGGCTGGGCCATGGATGCAGGGACGAGCAAACGGACACCACGTGGATTTGGTCCGCGCTTGTGCCCTATCCTGTCCCTGGGGATGGCGCGCCAGAAGAGATCGGATCAGGGAGAATGAGGATGGGGAGGAAGAGGAGGACAAGGATAGCCAGTAGGCGAGAAAGACGAAGGGGATTAGAGGACACGGACGAGGAGCAGAACGAGTTGGAGACAGGGAAAGAGGGGGAGGAGGCGGAAGAGGAGCCAAGGACGATACTTACCACAATCGACATGAGCTGAAAAGGGTGCATGCATCCGTTTTGAGTACGAGGAGGGGGATGGCGAGTTAGAGGACAAGGACGCGAATGGGGAGAAGCGGGGCCAGCGGGCGGATTTGGAGAAGGGCTGGGCGAGCCAGCAGGAAGGGGACCAGGACAACCAGCAGGATGAGCGGGAGGACGACGGGAAGGTCCAGGAGGAGGATGACGCTGAGGAGCGTGGGGAAGACAGATTTCGCCCCGGGCATGCAGAAGGCCGGGCCGAGAAGCGTCACACGCGCGTGGGCTGCGCGCTGGAGAGGGGGAGGGAGGGAGGAGGTGGAGGAAGAGGGAGTGGAGGGGGAAGTGGAGAGAAGGGATGCAGGAGCAAGGGGTCGAATGGGGGGGGGAGGGGGGAGGGGGGGCGAGGAAAGGCCCGGCGGGGGAGAGGGGGACGGGCAAGGGGGGGGCAGGCGCTGAGGGGGGGAAGGGGAGCGGGCAGGCGAGAGGAACGGGGGAGGGAAAAGGGGCGAGAGGAGGATGAGGAGGACGAGGGGGGCGAGGAGGGGCGAGTCGTACGCTGCTGACGAGGAGGAAGAAGCGGAGATGCTCCGGAGCCCGAGGCCTGCGCGCGCGAGGCAGAGCCTCCCCAGCCGGCCTGTCCCACTGCAAGCCGAAGGACGCGCTGCGACCCCGGCCCCACCAGAAGGTGAGGAGGAGGAGCGCCCGTCGAGAGGAGGACGAGCGCCCGTCGAGAGGAGGAGGAGCGCCCGTCGAGAGGACGAGGAGGAGGAGGAGGAGGACGAGGAGGAGGAGCGCCCGTCGAGAGGAGGACGAGGAGGAGGAGCGCCCGTCGAGAGGAGGAGCCGGAGGAGGGCAACCGCCCAGCGGGGGAAGCCAAGCGGCCGGGGGGAGAGACACCGAGGGGGAGGACGAACGGGACGTGAGCACCGACGGGGCCGCCACCGAAGAGGCACCTCCCAGGGCGAGCCCGCGGGGCGGCGGTGGGGGGGGCGGGGGGAGATTGGACATCGATGGGGCGGAGGGCAGGAGGAGGCGGGCGGGGAAGGACGAGGCGAGGCGAGGACGGGAAGGAGAGGCGGGAGCAAGCTTGGGTCTCCCGCGCACACGGGTGCCCTCAGCGGAGGGCTTCAGGCTGTAGCTGTACATCGTGGCTGCTCAAAACCTCCGCGCGAGCTCCTCCTGCTCATTTCGAGCCTCGCCTCCTCCCGCTCTGCCTCCTTACCCACACTGTTTCTTCTCCTCCTTCCTCCGTCTCGCCCTCCACCCTCTCGTCATCCTCATCATCTTCATCACCCTCTCCTCCTCCTCCCTCCCCCCCGCCTTGTCCAACTCATCCTCCGCATTCGCATCGCCATCATAATTCTCCCTCATCCCGTCACCCCTCCAAATCTATCACTAGCATCCTCATCACCACGACTAAAACCACCGCAACGAACATCAGAATCACCACCATCACCACCACCAGTATCAAAATCATAACCAGCGTCATCATCATCATCATCATCATCATCATCATCATCATCATCATCATCATCACCACCACCACCATCATCATCATCATCATCATCATCATCATCAGTAGCAGCAACATCATCAGCATCGTCGTCATCATCATCACCATCATCATCATCATCATCATCATCATCAGTAGCAGCAACATCATCAGCATCGTCGTCATCATCATCACCATCATCATCATAATCATGAACATAATATGCGTCGCCATCGACATCATTACCTTCGTATACATAAACATCACGATCATCGCCGTCGCCATCGCCATCGTCACCGTCATCGCCATCGGTATAGTTATCGGCCTCGTGATCATCGTCATCATCATCACCATCATCATCAGCAGCATCATCACCACCATCACCATCACCATCACCATCACCATCACCATCACCACCACCACCACCACCATCACCATCATCATCATCATCATCATCATCATCATCATCATCATCATCATCATCATCATCATCATCATCTTCAACATACACAATACCGAGATGAATATCATCGTCGTTGGCATCGTCATCCTCACCGTCGCCGTCATTAACATCGCTACACACCCAATTCCTCATCCGTCCTCGCTCAGTGCTCCTCCTTATTATCATGTGCATCCTCATCGTCGGCCTCATCATCCCCCTCCTGCCCACATTCCCCCTTTTTAACTCTTCCCACAATCTCCCTCTCCTCTCCTCGTATACCTGCTCCTCGTCGCCATCGTCATCATCGATCCGCTGCTCATCCTGCTGGGTCTCGTCCCTCCTCCGTCAAATCTTGTGACTGCCAAATGCATCCTGTTCCCCTCTTCTGCCAACCCTCATCCTTTCCCTCCCTCCCCATCCCCCGCTGCTGCGTCGTCGCTAGTGCTGTTGCTGCTGTGGTCGTTGTCACGTGTCTCATTGCTCATGCTGTCGGGTACAATAAGTTTCTGGCTGCTGTGACAGGTCTGATTGTTGTGTTGTGCGACGACGCGGCGTTCTGATGATCATATAAAACATGTGTCGTTGTGTCCGTCGTAAATGCTGCCGGAAAAAGGCTCCGTGAGCGTCCATGTTTCTGTTTCAGATGATGTTGTCGCTATTACAACGCTGTTGAATAGACGAATCGGTGAGCCAGAGGGTAGTACTTGCTGGCCGGATCTTGTTTGCGGGAAGTGAGCGACGACCATGCCGCTCTCGCGCTGTGGTGAATTCCTGAAGTATTTGAGACGTACTGTGTGTGAGCTCGCCCTCCCCGTCCTTCTCCTTTGGTTGCTTATTGTGTTCGTTTTGCTCGCGTGTAGTTAGGGCCCGCGTGGCTTTGCTGCGCGCGCAATGTCGTCGATCATCGTAACCAGACGCGGGAGTTTGGCTGGTCAGGAGCGCGTCGTCGGCGAAGCGCAGGTAGGCCAGCGCGGCGGTGCTCGCGAATGCACACTGAACCCCCATTCAGTTGCCGCTGTCATTCTGAGACCAACGAGCCAAGTATGCGCCGTAGAAGAGCGCGTTTGGAAAATAGGGGGCGAAGTGAGTCGTCCCGCTCCGTGCCCCGCAAAAGGCTGAATGGTCTGCTGTTGACGTTTGTCATCACCGTAGCTGTCTGTCCCTCGTAGAGCTGATGAAATAGTGCGACGTATCCGGATTGCACGCCTGGTGCTCTCAGCGCTGCCCAAACTTAAGTCGGGCCTGTCCCCCTACAGGGGGATTGTTGACGAACAATTAAAAATACCCCAACCCACAAATACACCAAAACTGTAAAAAAATGATCAACAAACCGTACCCTGTTTTTTTCCCCATATCCTAAGATGGTGTTCTTGTTATTCCCCATATCCGAAGATGGGGTTCTTGTTATTACTTGGACGCCTCCTACTCCTCCTCCTTCTTCCTCTTCTCCTCCCCTCTTCTCCTCATACCCAGACTTACTCATACACAGCCTGACTCACATTCAGACTTACTCATACCCAGACTTACTCACACACAGAATTACTCATACTCAGACCTACTCATACTCAGACCTACTCCTACTCAGATTTACTCATGGTGAGACTCACGCACGCCCCGTTCGCGGCCGTTCTGTGGGGATGCCTCAAGCGGTTTGCCTGTTTGCTGTCCCAGCATCCTTCGCTTTCGGAGCAGATTTGGAGGATGTCTCGAGCGAGGCGCTCATTTGCACCCCCCTAAGGGGAGCCGCCGAAGGGTATTTCACGGTCCCGTTCGCGGCCGTTGTTTGGGGATGTCTCAAGCGGTTTGCCTGCTTTCTGTCCCAACATCTTTCGCTTTCGGAGCAGATTTGGAGGATGTTTCGAGTGAGGCGCTCATCGTCACCCCCCTAAGGGGGGCCGCCGAGTGGTATTGCACGGTCCCGTTCGCAGCCGTTTTGTGGGGATGTCTCAAGCGGTTTGCTTGTTTTCTGTCCCAGCATCCTTCGCTTTCGGAGCAGATTGGGAGGATGTCTCGAGCGAGGCGCTCATTTTCACCCCCCTGAGAGGAGCCGCCGATGGGTATTTCACGGTCCCGTTCGCGGCCGTTGTGTGGGGACGTCTCGAGCGGTTTACCTGTTTTCTGGTCCAATATGTTTCGCTTTCGGAGCAGATTTGGAGGATGTTTCGAGCGAGGCGCTTATTGTCACCCCCCTAAGGGGAGCCGCCGAGTGGTATTGCACAGTCCCGTTCGCAGCCGTTTTGTGGGGATGTCTCTAACGGTTTGCTTGTTTTCCTGTCCAACATCCTTCGCTTTTTCGGAGAGCTTTGGAGATGCTCGAGCGAGGCTCTCATGTTCACGTCCCTATGTGCCAGATTTTGAGGATGTCTTGTCTAGATCTTGCCTGTTTTTGGTGCCAGACTCGTGGGCTGGGCACAGGAGGCTCCATCGATCTCCACTCCGAGGACCTGCCGTGCCCGCCAGCGCCTCTGCGGAGGAAGCCGGCACGTTTTAGCGCGCAAAAAAACACAGGAGACAAAACACGAAGGAAAGACAGGAAAAGCACTCGAAAAAAAATAGAAAGCACAGAACCTAGAGCCACCAGGTAGGCGGGGGGCGACAGGGGGTTGGGGGCGTTGGGAGGGGGAGGAGGGGAGGGAGGGCGGCGCTTTGGCCAGTCCCGGCTCGCCGCCGATTATCCGTGCCCGCGCGGCCTCAATAACCGTCAGGGTCCACCTGGTGCCGCCGCACGCAGCAAAGGCTGCGCCAAACGCCGCGAGGTAAGCCCCCGCGTGGGCAGGCGGGAGCAGGACCTAGCCATCGTCCATGTACCAACCGTCCCATACCCAGCCGCCTGCTGCCTCCACCGCGCGGCGTCCAGCGGCCTGAGACTCGAGCAGGACGAGGCCGCAGCATGCCGGACCAGGCGGATCCCCCTGCTCCGCTCCCAGGTCACAGGACTGCCAGCCGCAAGCGGGGAGCTGGATCCACGCGGGCCCACTGTGGCACCATGCTGTCCAGCTTGCCAGCGACGGCGCACGGGCGTCAACTGCCTGGCGCACGGCCGCCCACTCGAAGGAGGGAAAGGCGTTCCGCAGGTCGATGTCCAGGAGGGCGACAACTTCTCCCAGGGGCGCCCCCGCTTCCAAACATCGGCGCTGCACGAGCACCTCCGCACCCCCGGGCAGGCCGACCCCGCGCTGTCGGTGCGCAAGAAAGAGACGCTGGAGATGCGTCTTGCTGTCGGCGGCGATGCCCTTGGCCACGACGCGCCTCCACAAGTCGCCGACACGTATCGGGCGCGGGGTCTCGGTGCCCAGCTTGCGGAGGAAGACAACGCGCGAGTCGGTGATCCAGTGCGCGGACGCGGGGAGGGTGCCAGCAGCCCCCCGGCGCCGAAGCTCGGCGACCGCCCTGAGCAGTCGATTTTGCGCCGCCTTGCTGCGGCCTTGGAGCGCTTCCCGAAAGTGCTCAGGGCGAGCGCCGGTGGGGCCAGCTCCACTCAGGCGAGGGAAGCGGACACCGCCTAGCGCTTCCTGCCAGAGGCCCCGTTTCCCGCCCCAGCTGGGGCGGAGCTCCGCGGACTGTCGTCGTCACCGCCTGGCACCCTCCTCCTCTCCTCCTCCTCCTCCTCCTCTTTCCTCCTCCTCCTCCTCCTCCTCCTCCTCCTCCTCCTCCTCCTCCTCCTCCTCCAGCGCAGGCTGCGGCGGCGGCGGCGGCGGCGGCGCCCGGGCCGCCTGGGGCTGCTCCGACCTGGGCAGAAGGCGGGCCGCCCATGCGGCTTCGTCCTCTGGCGTGAGCGGCGCCAAGCTGCCCGTGAGGGCCGCCATGCCCTTGCGGTAGGCACCGTCCCGAGCGAGCCTGCGGGCCCGCTGGCCGCGCCGCGGCTGCGGCGCCGTCGGACCAGTCCGCCCCCGAGCGCGCTCCCGGGCGTGACCTTCGGCACGAACGAGCAGAGCTTCCCACTCTCGCTCCCGCCAGAGCCTCAGACGCTCAGCCATCTCTGTCCTCAGCAGCGCGCCGGCCGGGGGCGGCGCGAGGAGCACCTTGGCCCGGCCGAGCTCCAGGGCGCAATCCTCCTCCCCCGCCAGGATCGCCTCGAGCGCCTCGGCAGTGGCAACAGCAAGGCCTTCGCGCGCGGCCGACGGCAGGTGGGCCGCCCGTGCTTCCCAATCCGCTGGGAGGAGGAAGCGCTCCCGGCCTCCGTCCGGCGCCGGCGAGGGTCGGGGCGCCATCGCGCGGGGCGCAACCACCACGTCCGCCGCCCGCGCCCGGAACGACGGCCGCGTCTCGCCGAAATGGTGGCAGGCTCGACCACTCTCGGCGCGCAGACCCGAGCAGCGCGAGCAGACGCCGCGGCGCAATCCCCGCAGAACCGCGGCACTTTGGCGCCCGCTGCAAGTGCAAGAGAAGCGCCTGGGGCCAGCCTCGCGTAGACCAGGCGGGGCACAGCGGCCAGCAGAGCCCCAGAGCGGCCGCCAGGGGCGGTCCCGCCGGCGCCCATGGAGGCGGGGGCGGAGGTGCCTCCAGCGCATGCGGCAGCGGCTCCATGCCCGGCTCGGCACCAGCGCTCGGCGGCGGCTCTCTACCCGGGGAAGCTGCGCCATGGTCGCCCGGCTGCGGCCCGTCGGCCGGCCCAGGGTGGCTGACCTGCCCCACGCGGACGCCGCGGAACGGCCACCCGCCCACGCGCAGCCATGCCGCACCGCGCGCAGCGTCAGCAGAAGAGCCATACCTCCTCCTCCTACTCCTCCTGCTCCTCCCCCTCCTCCTCCTCCTCCTCCTCCTCCTCCTCCTCCTCCAGATCCTTCTGACTCGTCCTTCCTCCTCGTCCTCCTCCTCCTCCTCCTCCTTCTCACATCCTATTTCTCCTCCTCCTCCTTATTCTCCTCCTCCTCCTCCCTTGTCCTCCTCCTCCTCCCTCGTCCTCCACCTCCGTTTCGTCCTCGTCCTCGTCCTCGTCCTCGTCCTCCTCTCCTCCTCCTACCTCCTCCTCCTCCTCCTCCTCCTCCTCCTCCTCCTCCCACCTCCCCCCCCTCCTCCTCTTTCCTCTCCTCCTCCTCCTCCCTCCACCGCCTCCTCCTCCTCCTCCTCCTCCTCCTCCTCCTCCTCCCCTCCTCCTACCCTCCATCTCCCACCTCCACCCCCTCCTCCTCTTCTCCTCCTCCTCCTCCTCCTCCACCTCCTCCTCCTCTCACTCCTCCTCCTCCTCCTCCTCCTCCTCCTCCTCCTCTCGTCCTCCCTCTTACTCCTCCTCCTTATTCTCCTCCTCCTCCTCCTCCTCCTCCTCCTCCTCCTCCTCCCATTCCTCCTCCTTTTCTTCCCCTCCTTCTCCCGCTTCTGCTGCCGCCCGCCCGCGGCAGCGCGCGCGGCGGCGAGCGGCCTCGGGACCCCCTGCCATTTGCAGGCTGCGGGCCGAGTCGGGCGGGGCGCCTGGCAGGCTGGGCTCTCCACGGCTGCAGCGGCGACGACGGCGGCGGCGTCGCGAGCGGCGGCGACGGCGGCGGCGTCGAAGGCGCGTCGCGAGCGGCCGCGGCGGCGGCGGCGGCACGCGCGGCGGCGACGATAATGGTGACGGCGGCGGCGGCGCGATGGCGGCGGGGGGCGGGGAAGGGGGAGGGGGACAGAAGTGGGCAGGGGAGCTAGGGGAGAGAGGGGCGATGAGGGGAAGGGAGAGAGGGAGGGATGAAAACAGGAGAAGTTGGAGGAAAATTAGGCGTTGCCCTGATCGGGCGGGGCGCTGCGCACACTCACCCCGCGCGCCCGGGATGGAATTCAACCGGGGGGAGGAGCAGAAGGAGGAGGAGGAGGAGAAGAGGGAGCAGGAGAAGGAGGTAAAGGAGGTACAGGAGGAGGAGGAGGAGGAGGAGGAGGAGGAGGAGGAGGAGGAAGAAAGAGGAGGAGAGGAGGGAGGAGGAGGAGGAGGAGGGGAGGTGGAGGAGGAGGAGAGGAGAGGATGAGAGGAGAGGAGGAGTTGGAGAGGATGTGGGAGTAGGAGGAGGGGGATGAAAGGAGGAGGAGGAGGAGGAGGAGGAGGAGGAGAGGGGAGCGGAGGAAGAAGGGGAGGAGGGGAGGAGTGGAGAGGAGGAGAGAGTGAGAGGAGAAAGAGGAGGAGGACGAGTAGGAGGAGGAGAGGAGGAAGAGGAGGAAGCTAGAAGAGGGGGGGGGGCGGGGGAGGAGGGGAGGGGAGGTGAGGGAGAAGGAGGAGACGCAGGAGGAGAGAGGGGGGGAGGTACAAGCAGCAAGAGAGGCCGAACCGACAGAGAGCGACTGTCGCCGCGCGCCGAAGGGGGCCCGATCCCCAATCGCCGCGGGCAGGCTTGCACCGACGACCGAAGATCTGCTGAAGACGGGCCTCCTCCTCCTCCTCCTCCTCCTGCTCCTCCTCGGTCTTCCTTCCGCCTGATGCTGCGCCTCCTGCCTCCTGCCTCCTCTGGACTCCTCATGCCGCTGAGAACCGACCTCATGACAACAATGTCGTGAATACCACACAACCGCGTGCACACAGGGGGGAGGCCGGGAGGAGGGGAATGCGGGGCCCTGCCTCCTCCTCCTCCTGCTCGTCCTCCTCCTCCTCCCCCTCCTCCTCCTCCTCCTCCTCCTCCTCCTCCTCCTCATCACTATCTCCTCCTCCTCCTCCTCCTCCTCCTCCTCCTCCACCTCCTGTGCGCCGCCTCCTCCGAATGAGTCGCCCTTCTGAATAAAATGGAAAAGATACAAATATCGCTTCTCCCCGGACCTCTCCCAAAATGTGTTCCGACCAGGCACGTCGCGGCACATACAGCCGTGGCGACGAGGACCTTTCTGGAGACCCGAGAGAAGGCAAGAACGCTGAATGTGTAGCGGAATCGGTACCTCGTCCAGCTCTGGCTTCCTCCTCCTCCTCCTCCTCCTCCTCCTCGTCCTCCAACTCACCATGATCATCACCACCATTACCACCACTACCAACTTCAAAAGCATCGCCAACACTGCCATCATCATTACCATAATCACCATCGTCATCATCACCACCATACTCGTCATCAGCGGTGTCGTCATCGTCAACATCACCACCCCGCCACCAGCATCAATACCAACAGCATCAACAACATTTACAACACCAACAACCAGAATAGCAACACCACCATCGACACAAACATCATCGCCACCATCCGCATCGCCGTCATCATCACCATCACGATCCTCATCCGCTTCATCATCAGCCCCACCAATATCATCATCATTACCTGCAGCAACAGCATCGACATCGTCACAGCAACATCAGCATCACCAGCATCACCGCCACCACCACCACCACCCCCACCACCACCTTCATCAGCAAGACCATCACACCATCACCATCACCATCACCATCACCATACCAGCACCATCGCCAACACCATCACCATCACCACCCCCGTTTCCGTTTGACGCCCTCGGAGCCCGATCGAACGAGCCTCAGAGAGAAATGAGACAAATGCGCAGCGAGGGAACTACAGTAGGGGCACGTCCACAAGAAACCTTTCACAAAAAAACCAAACCCTGAGACCCCAGGACGTCTGTTGATCTTCGTTGTGGGAACGTCACGCTTCCCACAGTAAACCCACCGAAACCCAAGAAACCCAGTGCACCCTGGAGGCAAGCAGGGTGTTTCTTGACATGGGCCTCCACTGTAGCGATCCGTGGATTTGGCGCGCGGTCGCCAAATCCACGGATCGGGCGAGGTGCCCTCCCCAGAATGCGGCCAGTGCCGCCTCGCTCGGCGGCGGAAATCCACGACTCCCCATGGAAGCGGGACCCATCGCTAACCCACGCCCCCTTGATCCATGTTTGGGATCGCCTCCTCTGTACAGCAGGTTCGCGCGGCGTCGGCGCGCGCAAAGGTCTTTGACACCACCTCGATTGTTCAACCTCAATTCGATCGCACCCCCGATCGTTCAAGCTTGAATCCCGTCAGGCCCGACGCCACTACCATGGCCCTTCGATGCTTCCGCGTCGCCGAGCTCAACCTCGAACGCCTGCGCCGGCGTCGCCAGCGCGCCAACGCCGCACGAACCCACCGTATGCCGCGCAGCCTCTGGCATCCTGTTTACCAGTGAACCTGTTTGCTAGGTGATCGATCAATCTCTGATACCCCGCTGCTTCCGTGAGAAGATGAAGCACGTGCTGCGCTGATAGCGGGGAATGCACTACGTCACGCTCCAACAACATCCTGTCACACGCTCCGCTCAAGAGAACGTCGTTGGCGATCCAGCGACTAAGAAAGCGCATCAATTAAACAGAAACCAACCGTCCCGGCATTCCTCTAGGCCTACCACGGAATATTCTTAGAACCCAAAGCTGTTCGAACAACCAAAACAATGTTCTTAGGACATAAACCGATCTGTTGAAACAAGACAGACTCAGCCAGACATGTTCTGAGAACATGTCGTGGAAGCCAGAGAACCATCGCATCAGGCGAACCCTCCTCCTCCTCCTCCTCCCCCTCCCGGCCTGCGGGTGGCAGCACGTCCGCGGCGAGCCCGCGGGAGCCCTTGGAGACCTGCCTGTCGCCCGCCGCCGCGGGCCCAGGCCACGCGGCCTCTCCCGGCTCCTGCGGCCGTGGGGGGAAGCGGCGGGCTGCTCCTGATCCTTCTTCCCGCTCCCTACTCCCTCCTGCTCCTCCTCCTCCTCCTCCTCCTCCTGCTCCTCCATCCTCCTCCTCCCTCGATCTTCTCGTCGTTCTCCTCCTGTTCCTCCTCCTCCTCCTCCTCCTCCTCCGCCTCCTCCTCCTCGTCCTCCTCCTCTCTCGGCATGGCGCTGGGGTGATGTAACCTGTGGACCGTCCACGGGGCGCTGGCCAAGGGCCTGGCCAAGTGGGCGCTGTCCAAGGTCCCGCCCCCCCGCGGGACCCGCAGTGTGCCCTTGGGCCACCAGGCAGCCCCACCAGGGGCGGAGTCCAAGAGAGAGGCGGGATGGGAGGGCGGCCGATGGGGAGCTGCTGCGAGCTGGTCCTCCACCCCCTCGAGCGAATCGTCGCCGTCGTCTATGCCGACGTCCCCGAAGTCGGCGTGCAAGTAGCCAGGGGGCATGTCTCGGGATCGGGGAGGGGGCCAGGGATGCTCCGCTTCCAACTCCATCACCTCTTCACTCCCGCGTCCTCCCTCGCTCGCCTCTCATTCTTTCTCGTTCTCTCTCCGCCTTGTCTTGCTCCTGCTCATACTCCTCCTCCTCCTCCTACTGCTCCTGCTGCGCCTCCTCCTCCTCCGCCTCCTCCTCCTCCTCCTCCTCCTCCTCCTCCAGCTCCTCCGCTTTCCCCTCCTCCTCCTCCTCTCCTCCTCCTCCTCCTCCTCCTCCCTCCTCCTCCTGCTCCAACTCCTCCTCCTGCTCCTCCTCCTCCTCCTCCTGATCATCCTCCTCCCCTCCTCCTCCTCCTCCTCCTCCTCCTCCTCCTCCACATCCTCCACCTCTTCCTCCGCCTCCTCCTCCTCATCCTCCTCATCCTCCGCCTTCTTCTCCTCCTCCTCCTCATCCTCCTCATCATCATCATCCTCATCATCATCATCATCATCATCATCATCATCATCATCATCATCAGCATCAGCATCATCATCATCATCAGCATCATCAGCAGCAACAGCATCTGCAGCAGCAGCACCACCATCATCATCATCACCATCAGCATCGTCATCAGCAGCATCATCGTCATCATCATCCTCATCATCGTCACCATCATCATCACCAGCAGCAGCAGCATCATCATCATCATCAGCATCATCATCAACATCATCATCATCATAATCATCATCATCATCATCATCATCATTATCATCATCAGCAGCATCATCATCAGCGTCAGCGTCAGCATCATCACCACCATCATCAGCATCAGCATCATCATCAGCAGCAGCATCATCATCAGCAGCAGCACCATCATCCTCAGAATCTTCATCCTCATCCTCGTCCTCCCTCCTGTACCTCCCTCCTGTATCTCCTCACCTCCACTGCCTCTTGTCCCTCCTCCCTCCCCCTGCTCCCCTCCTGCGAATTCCCGAAGAAGAATGCCACTGGAGCGGCTCAAGGACTATGGGTCTCACCAGCAGAAACCAAACGACTGTACCACTGTTACGTGCTTTAGCCAAAAGGCGTTGACGGTACAACCGCTCGACGTACGCATGATTCTGATTTCCTCACCCAGCCTCTCACCTGTGTTATAACACCCCATTCGGCCAACACCCGATGAAAGCGACGGGGAGAACCTTCTTCAACAGCGAACCATGTGGGGGCGGGTCTGTTCCCGAGCGCGGCAGGCTGAAGTTTGCCTTTGGGAATCAGCGTGGATGAGTCCTTCTTCTAGGGCAGTCTAGGGGACACAGCAGCGGCGCGGGCGGCCTATATCCACAACCTCCTCGTCGTGCACTCCAGGCGTCACAACATGGTCAGCGGCTCGGTATTGTTCGACCAGTCTAGGTCTAATAGCAATGTCTCGCACACGGTCATGGAGCACGCGGCGGAGCATTACGCCTTCGACATCGGCCTGCTCAGGTCGCGTTGCGTGCTGTACTGAGGTCCGCGCCGAGTCCAATGTTTGTCTTGCACGACCTGAGCCATCCTGCCGAAAGGCACAGTGGTGGCGGGATGTTCTTGCGCCACGGGGGTAGTCAAGCTGCTCACGCTGCGCGTGCTGAAAGAGGTTGTGCTTGAGACGTCAGTTTGCCGACCCACCACCCTTGTCGACGATCTCAAGCTTCACGCGTAGGAGGCTTGCGCACTGTGGCGGCCCAGCTAGTCAAAGCAGTGAACTTGGTTCTGTCTGCTATGCAGCAGCTTGGAATGCCTGTCAACACGTCCAGTACATGTTTAATGGTTCCGGGCAATGGACCAACTCCGCCTCCTGATTGATGATCCTGAGTGGCCACTTGATGTGTCGATGCTGTCTGAGACTCATCGGGACCTGCAAGCCGACGCGTTTAGGGGAACGAACTACGCGTAAATATGAAAACTCGGGGGTCCGCGCGAATTCCTAGGATCGGCGCTGGACCCCCCTCCCTGGCGCGCGAAACACGCCAGGGGCGACGCCGGAGGCGCCGCCAGGGGGCTCCAGCGCCGATCCGAGAAATTCGCGCGGACCTCCGCGCTTTTATGCTCATGTCGTTGTTCGTTCCCCGATGGACGGCCCTCGTCGCAGGGTCCCGATCCATGCTGGTCGTTTCTCTGCAAGGGCTCCCAACTTCGCCCTTCGCGCTGCGCGAAGCGCGAAGTGCGAATGACGTCGCGCTCTCGCGCCGCCTCCCAGGGGAGAAGTGGAGGGTGAGGAGGAATCGGAGCCGAACCGCGAAGCGCGAAGCGCGAATAACTTCGCGCCCTCGAGGGCGCCCTGGCTCTGGGGCCCACGCCGCTGCCAGCAGGCTTCGGAAGTTTTGGGGGCGTCAGCGATGCTCTTCGTGCTGTCGAGGCGGGTCCGCGGCTGAAGCTGACAGTCGAAGCGCTGCCAGGAGGACCCCTAAGTGAGGAACGAGGCCCCTCTGCACCATGGGATAAGCTTTCTCCCATAGAACATGCAAGGACAGCCTATAAAAGAAACACTGAAAAACAATTGAGGAGCATTGAGCCCCTCCCCAACGGAAAGTGTTCCCTCTTCGGGGGCCCGACTGGAAATGGAGGACTCCCATCCTCGGGGTCCGCAACTCGTCTCTGAAAAGGCTGAGGGTTGCGGCAGCCCGCCGCTTCGGCCCTTGACAGCCTGGCTCGTCCATGGGCTGTGTTTCATATCTGTTCAACAACTCATGGGCGAACGATCCGCTTGTGCACCTCACTGTGGCTGCTGTGAAGACGTTCGCTTCTGTCTGGTGTCACCGCTTGGTCACCCGGCCGGTTTTCGCGTCCACCCTGGAAGATGCTCGTGCGACTTTCGGGAAAAAGAGGCCCTGGAGCGCCGCGAGGCAGCCGCTAACCGCCCCACTTCTCATCCTTGGCAGGATCGGCTGGCACCTCGGCATTGCTGCTGACAGTCTGGAGGTCCACCACGGGATCTTCTGGGCGATCGGCCGTTTCTCGCCAACCTGTTTTGAGGTTATTTGTCGGCAAGTGTGCTGGGATAGACGAAGAAAAAAGCCATAGACAAACACTTTTGTCGCTCCGCGCGGATTACTTGGATCTGCGCTGACCCCCCTCCCTGGCGCGCGGAGCGCGCCAGGAGCGGCGCCTGAAGGGCCGCCGGGGGGAACCGGCGCTGATGCAAGAAATCTGCGCGGAGCGCCAACAGTCTTTGTGTATGGCGTTTTCTCTTCTTCGATGGGATGCGATCGTGGCCGATGAATAGGAGTCGTGAATCGTCGTTCGTCGGCTTGATATCAATTCGTTCGTCGGCTTGATATTGCGAGCCTTGGCCGCAATATCCAGTCCTGGGCAAGGGGTGGCGCCCGCGCCCTGCCGAGGACTTGATATTGCGGCCAAGGCCACGGAAGACTGGACGGCCCATCCTTCCCGTATGCTCAGAGGCCTGATAGTTAACAGGTGTTGGTGCCAGCAGCCTTTTGTCGAGAGGTGCGATGAAACCCGCCCCCCTCTCCCATCAACGATTCGGCTGCTCCGCTCCCACGGCTTGGAGACGCGAGGAACTCTCGTGCAACGACTTGGAGATGGCCAGTCTCTTGCCCTCGCGCTGGATTATTTTTTTCCAGGGCGATCTTTCTCCAGGTCAGGCCGTGGATGTTTTTCCAGGGCGATCTTCCCCTACCCCTGGGGATGGTTCAAGCGCAACGCGCCCGACCCGACCTCCTGCTATGTGTAACTAGATGCATCGTTTTAACAAGCTGGTTGAGGGCCTGACGATAGGCGTCGGCATGCATGTTCACACGGATGTATCGGCCTTTGATGGCCGGCTTCGACCCTTGGAGGTGGCGGGATGGGCGGTGGTCGTCACGGACGGGGAGGGCCTGGGGGGTGCTGCACATTGTGGAGGCACCCTTCCAAGTAGCGAGGGGCGGCGAGGAGTATGCGGTCCTCCAGCTGTGTCTCAATGCTGTCCGCTTCCCTGGGCCCATCAACCTCCGTATCGATGGTGCTGGTACGGTTTTGACCGCGCTCGGGATCCCAGGCTTGCCGCTTGCCTCGAGAGTGCGAGGGCCCGTTGGCTAGCCCTGGTCTACGGCAACCTCGATGATTGCACGGTGTGGAAGGTCCCTTTCCATTGTACAGTAATAACCGATCCACAAGAAACCTTCCACAAGAAACCCAACCCTGAGACCCCAGGACGTCCATGGACTTTTGGCGTGGAAGCGTCGCGCTTCCCACAGCAAAAAACCATCGAAACCCAAGAGACACAGGGCACCCTGGAGGCGAGCAGAGTGTTTCTCGGCATGGACCTCCGCTGTACAGCGACGGACACGAACGAGGGCCGCCGGACTCGTGCTCGGCGGCTCGGCCGTGTAGCGCGGCTGATCGATGTGCCCGGCGTGGGGCCGAGCTGCGTCGCCGTGGTCTCGCCGATCGTCTCGCCATCCTCGGCTGTCGTGCGACTGCTGGGCAGGTTGCCCGAGGCACGCGAGGAGTGTGCCGATGTGCGGCGGGGCTACCCTGTGGGCGCTGCCACTGGTGCTTCGGGCGGAGCGCACTGCGGGGCCGCGATCAAAGTGTGAGGGGTGCGCCGCAAGAGGGCGGGGCCGCCACTGGGGCCCTCGGTGGAGATCCCTATGGGGCCAGGATGCGCTGTACTGGGTATTGGGAAACGCATGCGAGCACAGCCAATGGGGCATTCGGTTGAGCTCCCTATGGGGTCACGACGCGGTGTACTGGGTGAGGGAAATGCACACAAACACCGCCACTGGGGCCTTCGGTGGAGCTCCCTATGGGGCCATGCAGCGCTGCACTGGGCGGGGGAAACACATGCGAACACGCCACTGAAACCTTCGATGGAGCTCCCTATGGGGCCATGAACCACTGTACTGGGTGGGGAAACGCATTCGAGTGCAGCCATTGGGCCTTCGGTGGACTCCCTATGGGGCCACGGAGCGCTGTGCTGGTTAGCGGCGGAACATGCGGTCCCTGCCACTGGGGCCTTCGGTGGAGCTCCCCATGGGGCCGCAAAACGCT